CAGAGAGTAGGTCCTCCTGAGGCCCCACCAGTGTCCCCATGGGAGCAGCTGCTGCAGAGAGAGTAGGTCCTCCCGAGGCCCCGCCCACAGCCTCGCCAGGGAAGCAGCTGTCACTCCCTGTGGAAACTGATCTTCGCCAGGGTTCAACAGTTGTCAGTTTGGAAAACTGTTCAGCTCATAGTGGTCACTGCATATTTTTATATGATTCTAAAACTTCTTACGTTTTGGTGGTGAAAGAAAGGCAGCTTTAGTGATAACAAGAAGACACTAACTGACCATATTACATTATCAAAAGCATGAGGGGTCGGGCATACCTGTCATCCCAGCATTTTGGGAGGCCGAAGTGGGAGGATTGCTTGAGGCCAGGAGTTTCAGACCAGCCTGGGCAACATAGCAAGACTCCACCTCTCCAAAATAAATTTTTAAATTAACTGGGAGTGGTGGCTCATGTCTGTAGTCCCAGTTACTCAGGAGGCCACGGCAGGAGGATCGCTTGAGCCCAAGAGTTCGAGGCTGCAGTGAGCTATGATGATGTCACTGCACTCCAGCCTAGGCAACTGAGTGAGACTTCAACTCAAAAAAAAAGTGTAGGGAATGGTGGGAGAGCACATTTAAATCTCTCTACCCTGAATTCCAGAGAAATCTTCAAATTGTCTACTAGAGACAAATTTACTTTCATTGGTTTATGTAAAATCAATTAGATTTTATGCAGCATGGTCTTAATTCAGTAATATGTTTATGGGGCATATGATCTATTAATACATATGAAATAAAACATAAGTGCTGCAGCCTGACGCAGTGGCTCACGCCTGTAATCCCAGCACTTTGGGAGGCCAAGGTGGCAGGATTGCCTGAGTCCAGGAGTTTGAGACCAACCTGGGCAGCATGGTGAAACCCCATCCCTATAAAAAATACAAAATGTAGCCATTCATAGTGACTCAAGCTGGTAATTCCAGCTATTTGGGAGGCTGAGGTGGGAGAATCACTTGAGCCTGGGAAGTCAAGTCTGCAGTGAGCTATAATCATACCACTACATGCAAGCCTGGGTGGCAGTGAGACTGTCTCCGAAAAAAAAAAAAACAGAAGAAGACCTAAATGCTGTGAAATACTTGGTGTGAACATAGGGCTAGGAAGGCAGGGCCTCACCAGGTGTTCCGGAGCTCCGGAGCTCCATGACCTGTGGCCACCTAGCACCTGGTCTGGCTCCTGTCCTCCTCCTATTTGCGGCTCCTCTGGGCTCGGCTCTGCCATGAGGCAACCACCTCCATCACCTTTGGAATGATGTTTCTCTCTAGTTTGCAAGCACTACCGTGACTTGCCCCTCAGAGTGGCCTGTGAAGCAGCAGCAGGAGCAGGAGCTGGGAGCTGGTTAGCATGCAGGAGCCCAGGCCCTACCCCGGCCTTTGAAATCACACTCTGCATCCAGTGGGATCTGCAGGTGATGGTTTTTTTTTTTTTTTTGAGACAGAATCTTGCTCTGTCGCCCAGGCTGGAGTTCAGTGGCACAATCTGTGCTCACTGCAAACTCTTCCTCCCCAGTTCAAGCGATTCTTGTGCCTCAGCCTCCCGAGTAGCTGGGATTACAGGCATGCGCCACCACACCTGGCTAATTTTTGTATTTTTAGTAGAGATGGGGTTTCACCATGTTGGCCACGCTGAGTCTGGAACTCCTGATCTCAAGGGATCTGCCCGCCTTGGCCTCCCAAAGTGCTGGGAGTACTGGTGTGAGCCACCGCGCCCAGCCCTACAGGTGATTTGTGTGCCCTTTAGGGTCTGAGAACTCGGCCAGTGCCTCCCAGCCTGCTAAGTTCTCTGCCACCTGCTGTGAACAGTAGAAGGCCAACCCGTCACCACTGTCCTTACCCCTCACATGAGGTCTCAGATCGCATTTATGGCAATTGATAGGTCGTTTGTAAAAATTCGTATTTCATGACAAGCTTTTCCAATTAAGCAGTCATTACAGAGTTCATAGACATCAGGTAAAAAAAAAAATTAAGGTAGTCATGAAAGGTAAATAACTTCTGGAATTATCTATGAAACTGTAAAGTGGCATGACAAGAGCCACCTCGTATTAGCCCTTACTATGTGACAGGGGCTCTGCTAAGCACTTTAGGGTTTCTGGCATTTAATAGAGACTCACAGGCCCTGAGCAGTCAGGGCTCGCAGACAGCATACAGTCCATCTGAGACTCGGACAGAAGTCTCCGTTGAAGGCCAGTGTGTGGCCATCACACCACATGGGACGCAAGAAATGCATCTGGGAGCGGTTCAGCTGGAGCCCCGCATAGGCAGTGGCACGGTCTAGGCAAGGCAGGCCCCTGTCCCATTCACGGACCCTGCGCCTGCCTGCAGCACCCCCACGCGGGTGCGAGGTCCGTGCCAATGAGTGGCGGCTGGAGGGGCAACTCCCCATTCTATGGCCTGATGGCAGGGCCTTCTCTGGCATCGTCCTGTTGATCCCCTGCACACAGCAAGTGCTTGGTTCAGGGCAGGCAGGGCCTTGAGGTCTGTCCTTGGCACTGTGTGATTAGAAATGGGCTTTTTGGCCGGGTGCAGTGGCTTAAGCCTGTAATCCCAGCACTTTGGGAGGCCGAGGCGGGCGGATCACGAGGTCAGGAGATCGAGACCATCCTGGCTAACACGTCTCTACTAAAAATACAAAAATTAGCTGGGTGTGACGGCGGGCGCCTATAGTCCCAGCTACTTGGGAGGCTGAGGCAGGAGAATGGCGTGAACCCAGGAGGCGGAGCTTACAGTGAGCCGAGATCGCGCCACTGCACTCCAGCCTGGGCGACAGAGCAGCGAGACTCTGTCTCAAAAAAAAAAAAAAAAAAAAAGAAATGGGCCTTTGGTGGTCCTCCTGCCCCACCATCTGCTGTCCTAAGGAAGGGTTGAGCACTATCACTTTTCAGAAGCGCCTTCCTGCTCTGACATAACCTCCAGTTTTCGTGAACGCTGATGAGTCTCCTATTCTGTGTGTAGTTTGGAGGTGAAGCAACTCCTGCAGGCGAAGGCCGACCTGGAGAAGGAGCTGGAACGCGCGAGGGAGGGCGAGGAGGAGAGGAGAGAGAGAGAGGAGGCTTTGAGGTATGTGACCCGGGTCAGGGCCAGAGAGAGGAGCCAGGCGAGTCTGCACTCCTGCCACCACTGCAGCCCCCCGAGGCATCTCAGCCTCGCTGCCAGCCGGGTTTTTAGAAAGGCCACACCTCCCTGCAGTCTTTCCCTGGTTTTCTGTCACTCAGCTCGGGAATAACCTCTGGGTGCTGAGCAGGGCCTGCCCTCTGGCATCGTGGCCACCTCGCAGGGGCATCCTCTGCTCTGGCTGTGCCAGCACCTGCCCCTTCCCAACGAGCCATCACACTGGCCTCTGGTCAGAGCCACCCTGGTGTGGGCCACGTCCTCAAGAGGGGCCGCCCGTGCCCTCAAAGTAATGCCATTTGCGAGAGCCAGGAAGCAGCACCCTCCCCACGGTCCATCAGCTGCTGGTGGACAAACACCCTGAGGTCGACCACACGGAGGCGCAGAGCGGACAGCAGTCCCGACAGGCCTGGCCCGGGGACCCTCAAAAACGTGGTGCTTGGCAAAGAAAGCCAGATTCAAAAGGCCACGCAGCACACGATTCCGTGTGCAGGAAACGTCCAGAACGGGCAGACCCACCTGACAAGTGCTGCTGCTAGGGGCTGGGAGGGGAGCGGGGACTGCTGACGAGCATGGGTTCCTTTCTGGGGCGATGCAAATGTTCTGGAATTAGATAGGGGTGGTAGGTGCACAACACTGTGAATATGCTAAAATTCACTGAATTATACACTTTAAAATAGTGAATTTTGTGTGATGAGTCTTAACTTTTTAAAATGCACAAAAAACTAGGTTAGAAATCTGAGCAGACATATTTAGCACTCAGAATAATTAGTAAGACATAGATTACTGGAATGAAGAAAACCTTGGCTGGGCACAGTGGCTCATGCCTATAATCCCAGCACTTTGGGAGGCTGAGGTGGGCGGATCGCGAGGTCAGGAGTTCAAGACCAGCCTGACCAACATGGTGAAACCCCCTCTCTACTAAAAATACAAAAATTAGCCAGGCACAGTGGCAGGTGCCTATAATCCCAGCTACTCAGGAGGCTGAGGCAGGAGAATCACTTGAACCCAGGAGGTGGAGGTTGCAGTGAGCAGATACCATGCCACTGTACTCCAGCCTGGGCAACAGAGTGAGAATCCATCTCAAAAAAATTTTAAAAAAAGAAAACGTTTCATTTTAGGAGAAATCTGACTGAATTCTGTCAGAAGGCTAGAATTAAAGTAAATCCAAAAGCACACGTGCAGAAATGAATTTTTTTTTTTTTTTTGCCTTTAGTACCTAGAATGAACATCTAAACTGCAGTGCCTCCTGTTCATACTGTTTACTAACACCCCAGTGATCCCTGCTTATTTATCTCAAACGCGTGGGCTCGAGTGATCCTCTGGGCTCGGCCTCCCAGAGGGCTGGGATCACAGGTGTGAGCCCCCGCGCCCGGCCTCCTACTTACTTATTCACACAATGGATTCTGTTTTTAGTTCTTAGCTGTTGCAGGAGAGGTGCTGGGCCCTGGGGGTCCTCAGCCCTGGCCTCGTTGGGCTTCCAGCCCAGAGCAGGAGACAGCAGGAAGTCCCGGCCTGCAATGGGGTTTCTGGTGCCGTCAGGTCATAGCTGGGCCCTGTGGCTCTGGGAGACGTGGCCCTACCAGCCCTCTACAGGCTGCCTGGCGTCCCCCTGTCTCAGCGTGGACCGCCCGCCCCACCCTGCCCTGCGCCGGCCTTCATCACATAGTGACAGGTGAGGTGTCTCATTTTTCCCTTTCCGCCTTAGAGAGGAGATTCAGACGCTTACCAGCAAGCTCCGAGAACTGCAAGAAATGGAGAAAGAAGAGAAAGAGGATTGCCCAGAAGTTCTTCATAAGGTACAGTGACCGTTTGCCTGAGTCTCCCGTCAGGTGTGGTGTGGCTTCCGCTGGTCATGACGGTTCCGACCGTTTCTCTGCCCAGAGTTGTTTCTGACCATCCACTGAAAATCCCACTCCCTTTTGTCATCACGATTGATTTCTATAACTCATGTCGTGTGTGTCGAAGTCCGGCGTTTTGGGATTAATTGACTGTCAGCAAATTGACTTCTCGAACTGATATTTGAGTCTCAAGGCTGGTAAGTAAAGAGTTAACCGAAAGCTCAGCCGTGCAGAGGGTGTAGGTGTGTGGCCGGAGCTGTCACTGAGAGGCAGGAGGGGCGTAGGGGGAAAGGACAAAGGCTCAGTCAGGCCTCTGCATGGACCTAGGCCTGCGCCCTCTCCTCTCATCTAAGTTCCAGAACACGAGGCTGGCAAAGCCTCAGCGGGGACTGCCCTGTGGGTGGAGCGGGGCTTCCTCTGCCCTCTCTGCAGAACACAAGGCCAGCAAGGCCTCAGCAGGCACTGCCCTCTGGGTGGAGTAGGGGTTCCTCTGCCCTCTCTGCCGTCACTCAGCTGTGCACGGGTTGAACATGAAGTGACTGTTAGCAGGGACCCGGCAGGTGAGCAGGGACCCTAGGCGGATGCCCTCCTGCCTCTCCACTCCCTCCGCGTGTGTGGACGCTACCCAGGGGCAGCTGGTCGAGGCGGTGTCTCTGTGGCTCCAAGGTCCCTGGCCCTCTGCTGCCTCCCTGGAGGGTCACAGCCATGCTCTGGTCACCATGGCCGGTGCTGCCTGCACTTGCACTTCTGGTGGCAGAAGGGCGTCCTCACAAATCGCCTTCCAGTGGGTAGGATCCTTCGGAGGGCAGGTATGAGCCCATGCATGTTCAGGCAGGAAGAAGGAGCTTGGCGTCACCATCCTGGGGCTGCAGTTTGCTCTAAGAGGGGCTCGTGGATAAAACCAATCGAAGCCACTGCCTGTGGTCCCAGCTGCTCGGGAGGCAGCAGTGAACCAAGGTCGCACCACTGCACTCCATCCTGGGCCACAGAGCCAGACCCTGTCTCACTAAAAAAAGAAAAGAAAGAAAGAGAGTGAGAAAGAGAAAAGAACAATGTCTGAAAACAGAGAGAGGAGAGAGAGAGAGAGAAAAAGAAAACAAAAATGTCTGAAAATACTGCTGAAATACAGCCTTTTCTGTGTGGTGGGGTTATAAGCTTTTTTTTTTTTTTTTACTTTCTTTTAGTATTGTCTGAATTTTTCATAATAAGCATGTATTAGCTTTGTGTTATTTTCCTCCTCAGGAAACATTTCTATTTTAGAGACAAGGAAGAGTGGGATTGAGTGATCAGCTCTCCGAGTAGGGGAATCGGCTCTTAGCATTCACGTGGGAATGATTAATTGCAGGTTAAATGGAGTGACAAGAGTGGGTTTAAGAGTTGCCTCAAGGAATTTATAAGCATGTGAACATTTAGATTTTTTTTTAACTGTCTGTAGTTGTGTGAGTAAATGTTCATTTATCTTCTGAGGAGCTGATTTTACCTTTCCAATCACATTGGCACGGGCCACATACTAACAGCTGATCTCACTTTAGCGGAACAGAGGCCTGAAAATGTGTCAGGACTGAGGGAAGATGAGGCTCTTCTTAGGGTCACAAAATCAGAATGTGGAAGCCCAGGGCCGGAATGCTGGTGCCAAGCAACTTGGTGCCACAGCTAAAGGGATCTGGAAACAGCTGGCTGTGTGGATGTATCCAGGGCATCTTCGTCAGGGATGTTAAGATGTGTAGACATGCAAGTGACTGTCCTAGGAAGTTTACACTCCCAGGTCCCTAGAAACAGGAGGCAGGGCACGCAAGGCCACGCAGGAGCAGCGCGTCGGCCAGGAGGCGGCAGGGATGTGCGGAAGACCTGGGCCTGGGCCTTTATCATGGGAAGGAGCGGGCGAAGTGAGGTGAGCTGGCTGGTCGGGGCCGGTGGGCTGGAAGCTTGAAGAACTTCAGCGGGACCTGGGCCACAGGGTGGTCTTGAGCTGTTCCGCACCTGGCCCTGGGTGATTAAGGCTGAGGAATATTGCCTCCTGGAGTGTGGGGCCCAGCGCAGGAGACGATTCTGAGTGTGGGCACTGGATTAGTTGCTCGCATAGGATGGCCGTGCCCGAAGGCAGGCCCTTCACTGTCTAGGAATTGGCCAGGCCCAGAGGGGCATCAAGGCCCCAAGCGTCGTAACACACAGATAATGAAAAGCCAGTGCAATCCGTTCTGTGTTGGTTCAAGTCTGTGGACAGGCCACCTGTGCCCGCGCCTGGCCCAGTGTGCACTGGGAGCAGTCTTGTGTCTCCCTCTGGGGAGGGCTTTCAGCAACAGCATGCTCTCCACCGAGCTTGCATTCTTGACATGAGAGGCCTTTTCGTTTGTACTGGGTAGTGTCCTGTGGGTGATACATTTGGAGTCATCAGTGTTAGAAATCATAATTTTTCTTTTTTCTTTTTAGAGACGGTCTCACTCTGTTGCCCAGGCTGGACTACAGAGGCACAATCATGGCTCACTGCAGCTTTGACCCCTGGGCTCAAGCGATCCTCCTGCCTCAGCCTCCTGAGTAGCTGAGACCACAGTGGTGTGCCACCACACCCCGGGTATTTTAAAAATTTTTTCATAGAGGTGGGGTCTCGCTGTGTTGGCCAGGCTGGTCTTGAACTCCTGGGCTCAAGTGATCCTCCCTGCTTGGCCCTCCCACATTGTTGGGATTACAGGCGTGAGCCACTGCACCCAGCCTGAAATCATGGTTATTTCAGTGGTCGTTATAGCAATCCTGGCTTGTTTCTACCTTAAAAACCATGGTAGAAATATATATAATGCCTTCAATCCCAGAAATACCATGTTTATAATTTAGAGCGTTAAACTAGAAAACAGAAAAGGACCCCAGAAAAACAATTCTTGCAGGAACAAAATGTGACCGAGTGTAGTGAGTGTGTGACGGCCGTGTGAAGAAACGTCCTCTCTCTCTCCCAGAAGGCGTGGCCAGACAGAGTTGAGGGAGTTTAATGAGAGGTGTGTCTGCACGTGTGTGCTCGCCTGGACACGGTTTCTCAGCAGTACAGGAGACCGCTGTCATGTGGCCTGCGGACCAGTGTGGAACAGCTCTCGCCACATTAATAAGACTCGCCTGATAAGCCCAGCCGCACCGTGCAGAGTAATATCCTGTCCCCTTGCCGGGTACTGCTCGTCCCTGCCCTGGCTTCATCGTCCTCTTACTCCTTCAATTTCCTGCAGGCCCAAGAGCTCCCAGCTCCCACTCCCAGCAGCAGGCACTGCGAGCAAGACTGGCCGCTGGAGTCCAGTGAGGAGGGGCTCCCGCGGCCCCGCTCCCCCTGCTCTGACGGGAGAAGAGACGCCGCGGCCAGGGTGCTGCAGGCCCAGTGGAAGGTGTACAAGCACAAGGTGAGGCTCCCCAAGGCGACCTGGGCTGCTCCCCGTGAGTCTTCGTGCTCCAAGGCAAGCCACGCACTGTCTAGGAATGACTAGGCCTGGGGGGCCAGCCGGGCCCCAGGTGTCCGAGTACCGTAACATACAGAAAATAAAAACCTCATTCACACACTGACTCATCCGTTCTGGGTGCGTTTTGTGCAATACTGAACATCTCGCCAGATTTCTTTTCATACAGTTTTCTTCCAGAACTATTGGAAAGTGAGTTTTAGATGTTATGAAACATTAGCATGTATCTTGTAAGGAACAGTGTCTTCTCCTACCTGCCCACAGCACCGTGACTGCCCCTCAGACTGTCACAGCAGCTTGATATCCTCACCTACCGGCCCTTCCTGTTCACATTTCCCAAACGTCCCGAGACGCCGCCTGCAGCTATCTGTTTCCCGCCAGCATTCAGTCATGGCGGTTCTCAGCCCACCTCCCGCCAGAGCCCGGGGGTTGGTTGGTTACGTCTCCTTAGTGTGGTTCACAGCAGCCCCCACCCTTTCTTTTCTTTAACCAACAGGTCACCCTGGCCGATTTTGTTTGTTTGTTTTTCTGAGATAGAGTCTTGCTCTATTGTCCAGGCTGGAGCGCAGTGGCATGATCTTGGCTCACTGCAACCTCCGACTCCCAGGTTCAAGCAATTCTCCTGCCTCAGCCTCCCAAGTAGTTGCGATACAGGTGCCCGCCACCACGCCAAGCTAATTTTTGTATTTTTGGTAGAGACAGGATTTCACCATATTAGCCAGGCTGGTCTCGAACTCCTGGCCTCAGGTGATCCACCCACCTTGGCCTCCCAAAGTGCCAGGATTACAGGCATGAGCTACCACACCCAGCCTTTTTTTTCTTTTTTCATAGAGACAGGGTCTCACTCCGTCACTCAGGCTGGAGTGCAGTGGCACAATCGCAACTCACTGCAGCCTCGACCTCCCGGGACCAAGCAATCCTCCAGCCTCAGCCCACCAGGTAGCTGGGACTGCAGGCAGGCACCACCACACCTGGCCAATTTTTGTAGAGATGGGTCTAGCCATGTTGTCCAGGCTGGTCTTGAACTCCTGAGCTAAAGCCGTTCACCTGCCTCGGCCTCCCAGAGTGCTGGGATTACAGGTGTGAGCTACTGCACCTAGATGTTTTTTCTTTTTTTTTTTTTTTTTTGAGATGTAGTTTTGCTCTTGTCGCCCAGGCTGGAGTGCAGTGGCATGATCCCGGCTCACTGCAACCTCTGCCTCCCGGGTTCAAGCAATTCTCCTGCCTCAGCTTCCCAAGTAGCTGGGATTACAGGCGCACACCACCATGCCCAGCTAATTTTTGAATTTTTATTAGAGACAGGGTTTCACCATGTTGGCCAGGCTGGTCTCGAACTCCTGACCCCAGGTGATCCACCTGCCTTGGCCTCCCAAAGTACTGGTATTATAGGTGTGAGCCACTGCGCCCGGCCTTTTTTTTTCTTTTTAAAGACATTTTCTTTTTTTTTTTTCTTTTTTTCTTTTTTTTTAATCGAGACGGAGTCTCACTCTCTCGCCCAGGCTGGAGTGCAGTGGCGCGATCTTGGCTCACTACAAGCAACGCCTTCCAGGTTCTCGCCATTCTCCTGCCTCAGCCTCCCGAGTAGCTGGGACTACAGGCGCCCGCCACCACACCCGGCTAATTTTTTGTATTTTTAGTAGAGACAGGGTTTCACCGTGTTAGCCAAGATGATCTCGATCTCCTGACCTCGTGACCCGCCCGCCTCGGCCTCCTAAAGTGCTGGGATTACAGGCGTGAGCCACCGCGCCCGGCCTAAGGACATTTTCTTTGGCAGAGAGCAGGCCAGTGTGTTACAGAATGTTCCCTGTCCTGGATCTGTTTCCTTGTGGGGTCATTAACTTATTCCTCTGTCCCCTTAATTTCCCATAAGTGAGAAATAAGGTCTCCAGCTCTGATTCACCCAGGTTTGCTTTTGGCAAGAATGTCTCACATTTAGGCTGTGTACCCCCATCCCCTCAGGCCGGCCCCTGTTTGTGTTTCTAACCTGGTCATGGCTGCTGGCTTTCACCATTTTAAAGAAACGAGTTTCCCTTGGTAACTAGCCAGCAGTTTATAGAGGACAGCTTGGCCTCCATGAGGTCTGTCCCCACCACCTTTCCCCTTGTGGCCTTCATGTCGTTCATGTCACAGCTGTCTTCGTCTGAAAAGCAGTTCCCTTATTAGCGGGGCCGACTCCTGGTCCTCCCAAAAAGGTGGGAGAAAACTTAGTGACTTCCCTTCAGGTGCTGAGCAGATGCTGTCTTGTCTGTCTGTCTGTCTGTCTCTCTCTGTCTCTCTCTTATTCAGTGTATATATCTCTTTGCTTCCATCTTACATTCTGTTGGTCCTTGTACTCAGTTCCTCCTTAATCTCCCAAGGGACAGATCCTGTGTACAGTAGTACACATGTGGGCTGAGCACTCTGATGACTGGAAAATCAGCCGGCTGATGTACCTGTTATCTGGCCGTGGCCATTCCATTTCATTAAGTGTATATTGATTATTTTGACTTCAACATCTGGGAAGGACTTCGTTCACATCTGTAAGAACACGTGCTCCGAGGGACCCTCTCTGCTGACTGTGACGCTGTGTGTCAGCTGCAGCCACAGAAACTTCCCAGGACACCCAAGGGTGACTGATGATCAGTCAGGTTGAGGCCAGTGATCCAGACCCCTGAACCAAAGTCCCCTTCATAACCTCCCCAGCAGGCAGCCTCAGCCTCCGAATTCCGGGACTTATCCAGAAAGGACAGTGGTCCGGACACCTGTGATGTGAGAGGGCTCTCACATCGGGCCCACATCCACCTCCTTAGCTGCACAGCTTGGCCTAATGGAGTCCCTTCTGCACAGCCAGAGGACCGGCACATGGCACAGACACATCCCTTCATCTGCAGCTTGGGCCACCTCGTGACTCCCGGAGAATTCCCGCCATCCTCATTCTGCCTCTCACTTTCGTCCTCCTTACAAAGGCATTTGTTTGCTGGGCCCCAGCAGCTTGGGAGGGAAGAGCCAGGGCAGCCAGGCCTCTTGTTGGCTTGATGGACGCCTGTTGGCAAGATCAAGGACTGAAAACCACTGTGTGGGGAAACGTTCATCCTTCTTGTGTTTATTCATGTATTTTTTCTTTTTTTCAGAAAACAAAAGCTGTTCTGGATGAGGTAAGTGAGGTTTATTTCATCAGTTTCAAAATACGGATTTGTATTTTGTTGTAAAGTAGGTGAGGGGATATTTAAAGATGCGTTGAGTCCTTTTCTTTTCTTTTTTTTTTTTCTTTTTTTTGAGACAGAATCTCGCTGTGTGGCCCAGGCTGGAGTGCAGTGGTGCAACCTCGGCTCACTGCAACCTCCGCCTCCTGGGTTCAAGCGATTCTCCTGCCTCAGCCTCCCTAGTAGCTGGGATTACAGGTGCGCGCCATCACGCCCGGCTAATTTTTGTGTTTTTAGTAGAGATGGGGTTTCTCCGTGTTGGCCAGGTTGGTCTGCAACTCCTGACCTTAGGTGATTCGCCCATCTTGGGCTCCCAAAATGCAGGAATTACAGGCATGAGCCACCGCACCTAGTGAGTCTTTCTTTTCAAGAAACCAAACCAGACCCCAACATTAAGTATAACATACATAAGAAATAGAAACATCAAATAAATATTTGGATAATTTCCCACTTTCAAAATCTCTTCAATCATTCCTTCCTTCCATTCATTCTTTTCATGCACATTCACTGATCACCAACCCTGCGTAGGACAGTCTCAGAGGCTCTGGGACGCAGAGGCTCAGACACACAAGTGAACAAGCGGTTACAGCCCAGGGTGGTGCTGGGGGCGGCCAGCCCTGCACACAAAGGCCAGGAGGTCCCTGTGAGGAGTGACGTGCAAGGTGGGCCTCGTGGGACAGATGTCAGAGCTTGCTGCACCGGGAAGTGAGGGGAGGGCGTCCTAGCAGAGCCGGCGGGATGAGCAGTCTGAGACGGGGCGAGGGCGTGGAACTGGAATGGAGGTTGAGTATGTCACCCACAGCTGAGAACTGACAGATGGATGAACAGTGCGGTTCCAGCCATGATCCTTTTCAGGGAGGAGCTGGAAAGTGAGATCGTTATTTTGCTAGAGTCCTGGTGGCCTCGGAGATGCTCGCCTCTCCTCTAGGGCCCCTTCGGGGACGGTAGTGTATTTCCACTTAGACCACGGGAGAGGCCCCAGCTCCAGTCACTCAGAGCGGGCGCTGGGCCACAGGGCTTCTCACGCTGCCTTCTTCCTTGCCGGCAGCTGCTTCTCCGTGGTAGGGCAGACCCTGCACCCGCTTGTCCTCACACTCGCCAGGTGCATCTGATGCCAGCAGGGTTGACAGCTCTGCCATCAGGGCGGGGCTTGCCTTCCCCCTGCCCCACCCATTGTCCCCTTCCCCTTGGCCACACTACTCATCCACAACTGTTTGCTGGGCTCCTGCCATGTGCCAGGCACGAGAGGAGCTTGTAACAGACTAGCCAGACACTGTCCAAATTTCACGGGGTTCATACTCTGCAGTCAGGACGGCCAGTATGGTCACGGGTGTGGGCGGCGCACCAGGCTCGGTGGCCTGCGCGCAGCTGCAGTGGGAGAATGTTGGCATCTGGCGGCCAGGCCACAGCCGCGTGAGCGCCCTCCATGAGCAGGTAGCTGGACTGCCCACCTGGCTCACCACACTGTCCCTGAGGAAGGGCCCCCTGCTCACCACTGCCCTAGTCTTCAGCCTTCAGTTCTGCAGCCCCTCCATGCCTGGCCTCCTCGTCCCTGAACCTGCCCCACAGCCACACCCTTGTCCATACCCATCTGACACATTTGCAGTGGCAACTTCCAACATCCCCGTCTCTTGACAATCCCTCCCATCCTCTAGCAGCCCTCAGGCCCTCATCCCGAGGTCTCCAGCACGTCAGCCTCCCACCTGCCCACCCACCACAGCCTGCCCAGGCTCCCAGTCCCCGCAGCCGGCTGCGGTTCCTAGCACATGCCCCTGCCTGGCATCTCACTTTGTGGTTATTCTTGCCAGCCTCCCATCAGAATGCAAGCTCTGTCTTTTTGCCACAACACCTCTGGTGCCTAGACTAGCGCCTGGCATGTGGGAGGCGTTTGGTAAATGCCCTCCAGCGAGTGGGTGAGGGGACCTGGGCTCCTCGGCCAATGGGCCAGTCAGTGGTGGGTGCTGTCTCCCCGTCCTGCTTCTCTCCCTGGCACCCCCCATGCCTCAGGGTCCTCATCTCTAAAGACAGCAGTGAGGCTGCCTGTGTGGGGCTGTGGTGAGTGTGGGGTTTGGCAGTGTGTGCGCAGTGTGTGGCGTGACAGAGATGCGTGCCCCTCTTACCCCTCCGGCTGGTGCAGAACGCCCCATACCTGGCAGCCGCTTTACCGGAAGCTTCTGGGCAGCCTCCATGTGGTCACCGCACTCTGGCGGATCATTCATTGTTGATAGCCAGCGCTGCCTCGCCCTCCTCTGCTGAGCTCTTTTCCCACCCCAGCGTTCTTCCCCTTGCTTTAAGACAAAACAAAGGTGCTTTCTGTTCCAGCAGTGGCAAGCCTGCTAACCTCGCTTGGCGTGGGGCTCAGTGGGCACACTCATCATTCTCCTAACGTGTTTGAGAGCTGCCCATATCAGGCTGGGGGCGCTCACGGGGTTAGAGGCAGATTGTTCAAAAATAAGTGCTTCCCCGAAAATGGAGCGTGGACTTCTCACGGAGTGAGATAGAGTCTCACTGTGTCACCCAGGCTGGAGTGCAGTGGCCCAGTCTTGGATCACTGCAGCCTCTGCCTCCCAGGTGCAAACGATTCTCATGCCGCAGCCTCCTGAGTAGCTGGGACTACAGGCATGCACCACCACGCCGGGCTAATTTTTGTATTTTCAGTAGAGATGGGTTTTTACCATATTGGCCAGGCTGGTGTCAAACTCCTGGGCTCAGTGGATCTTCCCACCTCAGCCTCCCAAAGCACTGGATGACAGGTGTATGCCATGCCCAGCTAATTTTTTGTAGACACAAGGTCTTGCTATGTTGCCCAGGCTGGTCTGAATTTCCTGGCCTCAAGTGATCATCCTGCCTCAGCCTCCCAACGTGCTGGGATTACAGGCATGAACCACTGCACCCGGCCACATTGCCTAAGAAAATCATTTAAGATTAAGCTCAAAGGATAAATCATTCTCTTAAGATCACTTTAGAGGTCCTGTTGCCCCTTGCTTGATTTAGAAAACGTATATGGAAAGTAGATGAAACCAGTAAACTATTCCAACGGGGAAAAATGCTCCAACATGAAAACATAACCACGTGTGAAATACCAGCCCCTATTAGCCACTGAAAGGGACTGCAGTGAACAGCAGGCCCCTCCCATTCCCAGAGTCCCCACCGTGGTAACAGGCGCCGCGCCCTGTGCTCCCTGGGGTGCCAGTGAGTTTCTGACGGACTGGGGTGAGTGGGAGCGCAGAAGGCTCTTTGGGAGACTATGGCTGCGCAGCAGTGAGAGGAGTTGCGTTCCCTACTGCCGAGGCAGCTCTCCCCTCAGCACCTCCCTCTTGCCCGCCGTCGCCCTGGGCACTCACACCCGCTTTTCTCTCCCTGCTTCCTTCCCTGACAGGCGGCTGTGGTGCTTCAGGCAGCTTTCAGGGGACATGTGGCGCGGACAAAGCTCTTAGCAAGCAAAGCACATGGCTCAGAGCCGCCCAGCATGCCAGGCCTCCCAGACCAGGTAACATCGGGGCGCTGGACATCCCAGTGGCCATCTCCAGAGCTGCTCATCTCACACTCCATCCACTGAGAAAGCGCAGGGCACCTCTCAGCCTCCACATCCCCGCCCGCCCAGCAGGCATCCCCTCCACTCCATCCCTGGCCACGTAGGCCACGCAGGCCCCTCTGCACAGGCCCCTCTGCACAGGCCCCGGATGGGTATGGCATTAGGGCCAGATTGCCTTGAGCTGCCGGAGAGTCAAATAGCTCCATGAAGATGTAGCTAAAAACTACCGAAGATAGACGCAGGCCATGCCAGCCCCTCCTCTGTAAGGAGGACCAGGTGTTTGTTTAAGAATCCCTACAGTTTAAAAATTCAGAACCTGCCGCCAGGAGGCTGCTCACTGACTAGCAATTCCCGGGAGGCAGGGCCACCTGAAATGGAAACTGAGCTCTTCCCATCTCCCTTACACCCAGGGTGTCCCCGGAGCCCAGCACCAGGAGCCACCAGGGGGCTGCCAAACAGTCATCTTCCCTACTGTCCTTGCGCCCCAGAGCTCTCCTGTGCCCCGTGTTCTGAGCCCCATCGCCCAGGCCGAGGGCAGCCCTGCGCAGGAGGAGGCCATCGTCATCATCCAGTCCGCTCTGCGGGCACACCTGGCCCGGGCCAGGCACAGGTGAGTCGGGGTCACAGGGATGCCCCCGGGACACAGATGTGGCGCAGGAGGCTGCCCACTGTAGTGGGCACAGAGCACTGGGCGCAGGGCATGTAGCGGGAACTGGAGCAGCACCTGCTGCCTGCCAGCGGGACCTCAGTTTGGGGCCTGAGTAAAGGCTTCGCGTCGTGAGGACTCCCTGCTGCACCACGGACGTGGAGCGGGCTGGAAGTTCTGATCCTCGGGAGCCCTTTCCAGAGTCGCTTCTTCCCTACTGGGAGGAGATGAGGAGCTTCAGAAACCATGTAGCTCAGGTCGCCATCAGTCTGGCCTGACTTTCGGCTGTGCCGATATGTCATCCCTTTGAAAGAAAACTGTGATGTGACCTCAGTGTTAGACACGGCATATGACAGGCGACGCGTGCAGGGTCTAGATGGCAGTGTTCCTACAGGCCTCCCGGTGGATTCACTAGGACTCTCTTGGTTGCAGAAATCAAAACCCCTTGAAGTGAGCCTGGGTAGAGGGGGAGTTTAGAGTAGAGGGAAGAGACGGCCCCACTCCCTCACCCTCCTCTGCTTCACCCTGCGTGGGGCTTGTTCCCCTCTTATCACAGACTACTCTGGTTCTCAGCCTTCATGGTGGAGACGCACAGCCACCCAGCACTTCCAAGTGGGCAGTTTCTCCCTCCAAGGCCGCATCTGCCTCTCGTGGTCCTGATCCCATGTGGCCTGGGACACACCATGGGCTCAGGAGTCGGGGACCCGTCGCTGGGCAGCGAGCCCCAGCCAGGACGTGGAGGGCCATGCAACCTGCAACCACGTCCCTGGGGAATGGCAGCTGGGCCAGCCCAGACAGGAGACAGGGAAGGGAGCCGTCTGAGGCCAGCTTATAAAACTGTACTGGCCTGACCTCAGCATGGTCCCTGAGGAGATGGATAGGGGACGTGTCTGAGGCTCTTCATGGCCGGACGTTTCTGGACCCTGGGTGCATCTTGGGTACAGGGCTGGCCGTGGGGCTCCGGCGTGGCTGTGTGTTTGCTTTCATTGGAATACTTGCCTCCAGGCAAATTAGTGAGGCTTGTCGTAAACCTCAGAGAGGTTTGTACTCCCTAAAGGCAGAATCAGCTGGCGTTTTCTTTTTTCCAGCGCTACCGGTAAAAGAACCACCACCGCAGCTTCTACGAAGAGGAGATCGGCTTCAGCCACACACAGGGACGCCTCCTCCCCACCCTTCCTCGCAGCTCCTCCTGGTAATTTCATTCATTTGGATTCTGGCACCAGGGCAGCTGGTCTGCTGAGGTCCCAGCCAAACAGTGGCCACCTCCAGGAAGCCCGGGCTGTGTCAGGACGGAAGGGAGAAGTGTCCCATCTGGAGCTGCCTCTGAACTAAGTGTCGCCTTATGCCAGGAAGGCCCCCAACAGAGCCCCCCTTGGCCCAGCTTGTCCCTTGTCCCTGGAACTGCAGAGGTCCTTGTCCCTGGGACTGCAGAGGTCCTCGCTGTCTTTATTTTTGCTCTCAGCTCCAATGGGACCGAGGTGGCTTCCTCCTCCGGGCCAGCATTTCTCCCATTTGTTTGTTAAGTAAAACTGTGTTACTGGTTCCTTTTCTATTTTGTTAAAGCCCAAAAACGGTCAGTGAAGAAGCCGCTGGCGCTGCAGGATGCCACACCCTCGGGTGAGGCCTCATCCCTGCTCTGCCGGAGCTACCCGGAGCTGACGGGGATGCCCCAGCAGGGCCCTGCCTTTCTCTGGCCGTCAGTCCCTTCATGTGCAAAGTAGAGAACGGGCTAGACAGCTCAAAAGCTACTCTGCACCCCCAAATCTATGCTGCTCTGCGTAGACTTGAGATCCCGTGTCTTATCCTGCAATTAGAAACCCCTCACTGATACTTCAAGCCGTAAAGGGAGGATGAGTGCAGAGGCGCAGTGTCGAGACGCGGGACTGTCAGGAGATGGAGAAGGGCAGCCTTGAGACCTGTTGAGGAGTGTGGCGTGTGGGGCCATCTCACGTGGGAAGTGTTAGGTAAAGGGCTTTGCTGTGCTGAGTCCTTAGGTCTCCAGGGTGGAGTCAGGGAGGGAGGAGACAGAACAGCAAGGAAAGCCACAAAGGAAGAGGCTCTTCTGAGCCCAAAGGATGAGGGTGATGAAGGCCGGGGGTGAAGGAAGGGTGAGGCCTGCCCGGGACCCACACACCTTAATAAGAATGTCCCTTCAGGACGGGCCCAGGGAGGCGGCAGCCCCCCAGCACCACTGCAGTAAGTGTGGGGGCCCATGGTGGGCCGAGGCCTTGCTTTCCTAGGAGATCCCTCCTGTGATGACACGGAGTCGGGAAGAGGCCGTTTTGGGGCCCACATCAGACCTGGAGCCCGAAAGCCTTCCCTCCCCAGCGGGTCCCGCTAGGGGCTGTGTCTGAGAGAGTCTCCTGCACGAGCTAAGAACTGTACACCACGTTTGACCTGGAAATGCCACATATGAAATCACGTTTTCTTCTTTTCAGTCAGTTTTTAACCTAGTTTCGTCAGAGCTAGAAAACTTTGAACTTTGCTATTCGCTCCAAAACCTCCATTTGTAAAGCTCAACCAAAAGAGGAGCCCCGTGGGGTTTCGGGGAGAATGTGCAGACACGCAAAGCCACCGGCCGGCCTGTGACTCACGGGCTCTGCAAAAGGCTTTCCATTGTTCCGCCGGCTTCACCAGACCCTGCGTTTGGCGACCTTTAGAGGCTTTGATCAGGGGCTAAAGCGGGCCTTGGTGCTGCCCTTTTCTCTTGCTAAACGCAAGTGATTTTGAAGGGGCAAGTTCATCCCAGTGACCCAGGGATTCAGCTTGATTGACCTAAGGAAATGTCTCTGTGAAAAGTAGAAATTGAGCTTTTGTTTAAGCTGATTGGTTGTTTTTGAAGATCACTATGAAAACTGTTTTTAATTTCGTAAGGTTCCCCTTTAATATGAATTTTCTTGGAAGTGGCAGGAAAAAAAAGCTGACACAGTTACAGTATCTGCAGCATGGCCGAGTTGCCATTTCCTTCCCTTTTTAAAATCTCACATCAGCAGTTCGTTACTTTTTTACTTTCATCTTTCAAGGCAGTAAGAGTCAGGCTCCCTCCCGAGGAGCTCTGGGGCTGCTGGTGTGGTAGGGCCGGTCCCCTCTTCAGCTCTGGTACCCACCCCCATCCCGTCTGTAGGTGGCTTCCCATTCTAGAGTGGATTAAGAGTTCTGAACACTCTAGATGCTTATGAAGGAAGTAGCATCCAAAGGGGAATGGCCGAGCAGCTTGCAGGCTCACAGCGATCCGTGCCTTGCCCCCTCCTGCCTTCCATACCAGTGGCCAGCGAGTTAACAGGGAAGCTGGCTTTTTTTTTTTTAAAGATGTGGTCTCGCCGTGTTGCCCAGACTGGTCTAGAACTCCTGGGTTCAAGCCACCCTCCCACCTCGGCCTCCCAGAGTCCTGGGGTTACAGGCGTGAGCCACTGCACCCAGCAGAAACGCTCCTACACACAGGTAGCCGCCCAGCCAGGCCCCGGACTCCTGGGCTGCTGCTGTGGGAACAACTTCCAGGGAATTCCTCCGGCGCAGACTCGAGGTTCCTCCGTGCTGGCAAATGTCCGCTTTTGCAGGAGTTTGGATTTGGGGAATGGTGACCAGAGCTGAGTGTGAAGGCTAGGAGAGTGAGGCTTTCTGGCAGGTGTGTGAGTTGGTCCTGCGGGCCTGTGTGCCCCATGGCTTACTGCTTCTGGGGGTAGCCGCCGTCTTACCCGCCGGGGAAGACCAGACAGTGTAAGGGTGTCCGTGGTGTCAGCCCCTGAGGTCAGCGTGGCTGACCTGTCTCCCTGTGGTTCATTTCCACAGACCCCTCTCCCGCAGGGCCGCAGTCCGTGGCACCTTCACCTGGGGATGACGTCAACTCCGATGATTCCGACGATATTGTCATTGCCCCATCTCTGCCCACGAAGAAGAACTTTCCAGTCTAGGTCCCCGTCACTGTCTCCATGACGTGATGGCAGCACTGCTGAGGACATAGGAGCCACGACTGGAAAGATAATTTGTCGTGTTAGGAGAAGAATGATACCTACTTAACCTCTCAACATCTGCATCGTCTCTCTGTGCTTTTGTTTGTGGAAGGAAACCCAAATGCCTTTACTTTATTCTCCGGGGAGGGCCAGCGGCTCGCATCTCCCTCGTCTCCAGCTGCAGCTCGGATGGTGGGTTTTCAGTGGCGACAGACACGTCTGCCGTGAGCTCGCGGACACCAGGGAGCCCTGTAGTGACATGTTATCTGACCACCTCGCCACCTGCCCACGACCTTGACCATGAGGAGCTGCTATCTGCAGCTAGCACCAACACCACGCCTGCTCTTCCTGGTGACACCCACGACAACCAGGATTTGCTTCGATCTCGGCCCAGTAGGCCAGGCAGAGGCACCCCGCTGTGCCTTAGGAAGGTGTGAGACCGGCTTCCCCCCATCCCCACAGCAAAACACGGCATGTCCCAAGCCAGTGAGGAGCTAAAGACACCCAGGTCCCCAAATGAGCGTACGCCATGCCCCACCTGCTCACACCGTCCTTTCCCGTCACCCTCGCTACCCCTGAAGCACCGCCCTCCACAGCTGCCCTTCCCAGGAAGGAGTTTGGTTGGATTCTGTCACTGTGGAGACAAAGTCTTCTCTTTAATTCCAAATTATAACCACAAAAGCAGCATCACACTTGCTTTTGAGAACATCAGGGTGATGTCTGTTCCCAAACCGGCAGCAGGTGTCTCAGCCTCTGTGGGGCCACCCGGGGGAAGGAGAGGAGAGGAGGGTGAGGAGGCAGGCTCGCCGTTCCAAGGGAGAGCACAGGCTCGTGCTGGGGTGTGTTGCATGTGGTGTCTGGGACAGTCCCCATCACCCCATGTGTGCGGCCTCTGCACTCCCGGCTCCACTGCTGGCCTGGGCTGGGCTGGGCATGCAGAGTCTGGGGAGCCAGCAGCTGCGGAGGCCTGGGAGGAGCCCTTGGAGGCAGCAGCTGCAGAGGCCTAGGAAGGAGTTCCTGGGGGAAGCGCACAGTGTCCAGTGCCCATCTCTTGCTTGTGTGTGAGATTAGCCCCTGCTGGGGCATCAAGAGGAAGAGCCTTAGACCTGGGTGGGCCTTCAGGGGCATCTAGACCCCTGCACAGCCCGGGCCTAGTGTCCACATCTCCACAGCACCCCTGTGGGGACTCCTGCCGGGGCTGGCTGCTGTCTCAGGAAAGACCCAATGTTAGAAAGCCCCTTCTTACACAGCCAAAGGCTTCTCCCAAGGCTTCTGGCCACAGGGACAGGCTAACCCCTGGGCACCTCTTCTGCAGCATGGCGTCCTTCTGATTCACCCAAGCTGAGCCTGGGGCGTCCTCCACGGCGGTCAGAAGGCCAATGGCCCCAACACAGTGGCTTGTGGAAGAGAGAGAGGAGGCTCTGAATGTCCATCTGCCCTGTGGGAGGAGGACACAGGTGTCCCCAGTGCAGCCTGTCCTCTCCCAGTCAGTCAGGGATGGGGCCACCCAAAGTGCAGGACCCGCCCCACCCTGCGGTTCGCAGCCTGGCTCCTGTCTCCACTTAGGCGCTGTTTCTACAGCGGGTGGAACTGAGTCAGTGGGGGTCCTGGCTGTGTATGTCTTTTCCTTACTTGGTCTATGGGTTGTCAAGTCCATTTTTTTTTTTTCACTGAACTGGCTGGTAACTTGATGGACTGTGTAACTGACACAGGCCCTCTGTAAACCCCTGTCTTCACCCCACCTGCCCGGGTCCACTCCCTGGGGCTCTGTCCCAGCCATCCCTGCTTGCCAGCTCCAAGCTGCAGTCCTAGGAGCCAGTCTACCTCAAAAGCCCTGAGAAAGTGAGACACCTGCACGTTCGCTGCGGGAGACCCTCCGTTCTCTTGTGGCAGCTGCTCCCTCTTGTTAAACCAAGCTGTTTCTGCAGGACATGCTCACTCTTGGGAACCAGTGGCCTAGAGCTTTGGGTTACGGGTATGGAGAGGGTGTTCCCGCCTCAGGCTTGGCGGAGAATGTTCCATACGTAAACCACCATGTCCTCCTTTGGTGCAGCTGGACTGCTCTGTTAAAAGCCAGCATCTGTCTTGAAGCTCGCTGGGTAAATGGCAATGCATTCTCAAGCCTGTGTCTTCAGCTGATGCCCAGTGTCCAGTGCTGGTCACCAGTCCCCTTTGCTGGAGACAGCCCACCCGGCTGTTCTGTGGTCCTGGAACACTGCAGTGTGGTTTTGTTCCTTGGAGACACCACCAAGCGGGGAGGCCTCCTTGCCGGCTGCCCCAGGGCCTGGGGGCCAGGGGTTCTGGCCCTGCAGGAACTTAGGCAGGAGGGGAAGAGAAGCCCATGGAGCCATGGGAGGGGTGTCATGGGTGGAGCCTAGCCATGGGAGGGGTGAGATGTGGGCGGGGCAGCTGTGGGCGGGGCCTGTCATGGGCGGGGTGAGCTGTGGGCGGAGCCTAGTCATGGGAGGGGTGAGCTGTGGATGGACGGGACTGAGCCATGGGAGGGGCAAGCCATGGACTGGGCCAGGCTGTTGGAGCCATGGGTGGAGTAGGCTGGGCGGAGCTGCTGGGGCTGCTGGCAGGGCCTAGGAAAGTAGACAACTCCCGGGGGAGACTGGAAGTAGAGCGTGAGTCCCCATGAAAGGGACCTCTGCCCCAGGGTTAAGTGCCAAAGCAGGTCCCGCCCACCACTTCGGGGTAGATGTTGGTGGCACGTGTTGCTCAGGGTGTCCTGATTGTCTGGCACGTGTTGCTCAGGGTGTCCTGATTGTCGCTGCAACGCCTCCACATCACCTTGAACTTAAAGAACGGCAGCAAAGCTGTATCTGCTATCAGAGGCTGTTAGGTAGCCCAGCGTTAAACTAACATACTCTTTCTCCATCACATGCTCTTTAAACAAGGAGACACAGAAAATGTCCGTCTCCAGGGCCTGGCCCCACTGTGTTGACAGCAGCCACACCTGTTGAGCCGACACTGCTGAGGCTGAAGCTGGCCCCAGTGCAGGGGGCTGGTGAGCCACAGGTGCAGCTCCCCCGAGGTGTGCTCTCCCCTAGAGTCCTGCCCCCACCTCCTCCCCGAGGCCTATTCCTGCTGCCCTCAGACCTCAGCAGAGGCACCAGCTGGAGGGCTCCATGGACATCCTTGGAGATACGGGAAGCTTTCCTGGCACAGGGCACAGCTCTTAGGAGGCGTTTGTAGGACGCTGTCTCCCCAGTGTGTCCTGCTCATCCAGGAGGGGGAGAAAGAGGAGGAGGCCCCAGGCTCAGAAGCCAGGGACAGATGGCCGAGGATTACCAAACTGAATCCAGGTAGTGCCATGACCCTGGGTGTCCCTTGGTTCACGTCACCCACCAGACACAGCTGCAGAGAGAGTGCAGGGAGGGGCTGGGACCAAAGAGGCCAGAAACCAGCAGAAAGGAGGCAGAAGTGAGGTGGGTGTGCCTGGGGCACAAAGCCAGCACCGGGGAGATTTCAGTGGAGTCCTACAGCCAGTTTCTGTGCGGACTGTGATGCCAGAGAGGCGTGCAGCCTCTGGGCAAGTCGGGAGAGGGCTGGGGTGGTCCCCACAAGGGAGAAGAGGTGGAAGGGCCAGAGAAGACCGCCAAGACCACCGTTTCCCCAGGCATGGGGTGAGTGGCCTATGAGACTAGCGGGCAGAGCCAAGCAGGGCTAAACTCCAACCCAGGGCCCAGTGTTGGACAAAGTAGCTTTTTCTTTGCTCATTTGTCTGTGTATTAAGAAGAGACTAAAATAGCCAAACGACACTGGTCGCACGCTCTGGCTGTGGTCTGTCTGCTGAATGTCTATTTTTGTCTCCTGACAAGAGACGTGAGGACCATGCCCTTGATCCCTCCAACAGACCAGAAACCCCCTTCCTTGCAAAAAAGAAAAAAAAAAAGCCAATTGAATTAGGAAGAGATGGCCCAACCTAGCTCAGATCCACCAAGATAAGCACAGCAAAGCTCGGCTGCATTTTTGAGGAATAAAAACCTTCTGCAGAAAGCACCAATAACCTTTAAGATCTGAATGAGATTCTAATATAACCCGTCTAAACAATGGCAAAATTCCTCCTTTGGTTTTGGAAGCAGCGCTTGCTCACACGTGGCTCAGGGATTCTCTGAGGACCAGGAGTTGACACACAAACCCCGCCATGGGTCCGAGCCAGCTATTTCTCAAGGCTCCCACCTCACCAAGCTCCCAAGGGCCTGCCGGCAGCGCCTACGCTGTGCCAACTACCCTGTCTGGTACAGACCACGGCTGGGTAAGCACCCTCAAAAGCAACAGAAACAACGTCTGGAAGCTGAAAGGCGAAACTGTCGAGATGGCTCAGGAGAGGAAGGAGCGGACCCACTGGTCTTCGGCATTTTGTATTTAGAATTATTCTAATTTTATACAGAAGATATAGGCAGATCTTTTGGAAGGGATACAGTTTTCATTCTTGTGCAACTCATTATTCTCATTACTGGCCTTTTAAATAAAAAGTTGTTTTGCAGGGCGCCTTGATTGCCCGTGAAGCTGTCCCTTTAATTACCTCCAGGTGTGTTCCTGCTCCATGTGCTCAGGCTGCACAAACGATGTGCTTCAGAAACCCCATTCTCCGGGCTTCTGGCATTTTGCTGTGGTCGTCGTGTAGGCTTGGGGTTGGGGAGCCAGCTGGAGGGACGAGTCCCGCCGCCAGCTCCCCGCCACACGTGAACTCGGATACATCTGTTGACACCCCAGTCCCCCCTCGAATTTCAGTTCCTGAGATGTGAGGACACAAAAATGTCCGTGTGTGAGGCAGTTATTTCTCCACATGTGATTTCATTTTTGTTTCAGGAGCAGGGAAAGAATAATTTCCTGAAGAATCAAACACAGATGGAAACAACCAGAAGGAGCTGATATCTGGGTTTTGTTTTCCAATATTTTGTTGCATGGGACAAGGTGCATCTGTGGCTTTGCGCACTTGTGGCTGCCTGCCCTGGGGCCCTGAATCCTGGGTGGAGTGTGTCTGAAGCCTCCATATTTACTGGGGTTGGCTCTGGCATTTGCCCAAGCCCATTTTCTCTCTATCGATCTCATATATATGTGTGTGTGTGTGTGTGTGGAAATATATGTACATTTTTAAATTGAGATAGGGTCTTGCTGTCTTGCCCGGGCTGGAGTGCAGTGGTGCAATCATAGCTCACTGCAGCTTCAAACTCTTGGGTTTAAGCCATCCTCTTGCCTCAGCCTCCCAAGTAGCTAGGACTATAGGTGTGCGCCACCATGCCCAACCACTTTTTTTTTTTTTTTTGAGACGGAGTCTCGCTCTGTCACCCAGGCTGGAGTGCAGTGGCACGATCTCCGCTCACTGCAAGCTCCGCCACCTCCCGGGTTCACATCATTCTCCTGCCTCAGCCTCCCTAGAAGCTGGGACTACAGGCGCCCACCACCACGCCCGGCTAAGTTTTTTGTATTTTTAGTAGAGACGGGGTTTTACTGTGTTCGCCAGGATGGTCTCGATCTCCTGACCTCGTGATCCGCCCAACTCGGCCTCCCAAAGTGCTGGGATTACAGGCATGAGCCACCGCGCCCGGCTGCCCAACCACTTTTTAAAAAATTTCTGGCCAGGTGCAGTGGCGCGTGCCTGTAATGCCAGCCCTTTGGGAGGCCGAGGTGGGCGGATCACGAGGTCAGGAGTTTGAGACCAGTCCAGCCAATATGGTGACACCCTGTCTCTACTAAAAATAGAAAAATTAGCCGTGTGTA